GTAACTTTTTATTAAAACGCGTTTTTCTCGAAATGACATTTTTCATATTTGCCTGCGCTCTAACTTAAACAAATATTTACCAATCATTATGAAAATTGGTAGTTTCATTCTTTATAAAATTACGAAGAATATGAACCAACATTTGAGGTGTTATCACGATTTTAAGGGTGTTTTTTAGGTACAATTAGTGAAAAAAACTTGTGAAAATTTAAAAAAAAATTCAAACACCTTCAAAAATTTGTAAATTTTATTATTTTTACCTGGATTGAGGTTCATATTCTTAGAAAATGAGTTAAAAATGTAAGACAAGAAAAAAATTTGATTTTAGATAGAAATTAAAATTGCTAGACTGCTCGCAAGCCGAGAAAATATATTTGGACCATCAGCGGCAACCACTGCATAACTGCTTCATTTCTCATTAAAATAAATCAAAAAAATTTGTAAACATTGTTCAAAACATAAATAAAAAGATGCTCAAATGTTATTAAATTTTAAATAATTCTTTCCCCCCCCAAAAAAATCTTTAAAAATCCATAAAAATAAGCCTCCTAATGAGGTTTCCCCCCTTAAGCACAGTTCAGATCTTCTCTCCTGAATTGAAGGCAAGAACTATAAAAAATGACATAACTGAACATTCAGTTTACATAAATTTTCTTTTCCCACCAGATATTACTGAATGGGAAAAACAAAATGGTTCGACAGAAGAAAAGCAAGATGGTGAGGCTGATGGTGCTGGCGAGACGAGCGACGCTGGTGAGGTTAGCGTCAAAATAAAGGAAGAGAAAATCGAAAACCCTCATGACGAAGCTTCCCATTATTTGGGGTCTAATCCTCTGGAAGAAAAAGAGGAAAGACAAATTTATGGCAAATACGTGGCAAATAGAGTATCAGCATGGATGAAGCGGGGCTCGAGAAAAAAGGAAGACAAAGAAAAACTTCTCTCCCTCGCTCCCAAAGTAGCGAAAATTAAATTTTCAGCACCGTCACTAAATGACGAAATATGCGTCGACCTTCGCCCCAAAGTTCTATCACGTGACGAATACTTCAATGAGTATCAAAATTTCACAGGAGCAGCCCTGTCAGCCGCCACGATTCTACTCAGTGACATATAGTACGATGAAGAGGTTCCTCTGGAAAGACAGGACATCCTTTAAAATCTTTCGTGCATTAGAAAACTACTTTCAAACTTATATGCACAATTAACCATGGCGAGGAAAACATTCATAATCGGACGTTATGAAGATAGAATTCAAAAAGCCCTAAAAAAGTGGAACCAACAGAATTACTTGTTGGGGATAACCTTGAAGGTTTAATTGATACCGCAAAAACAATGGAAAAAGTTTCGAAAGAACTCAAGTCTAAACCACAATTCTCTTCAAGATCCAGCGAAAGTGCTTTCAACTGGAGGAACACCACCATCAAGAAGGAAGTAGGGAGGGGTAGCTACCAGTTTAATCAACCTCGAGCAATCACTTCCAGACAACCGAACCAACCTTCCAGACAAAGAAAACCCTCAAAAAAATTCTACTTACAAACCCAACCACAGAGGAACAAGAACTAAGTCGGATAAGTGCTAAAGCAACAAGGTTAAAATATTTTTTACAAAACTGGGCAGAAATTACCCAAGACAATTTTGTGCTAAAAGCCATTCAAAGTTACAAATTTAACCTTACTCGAGAACCGTTACAATCACGGACACCTTCTATCCCAGAACCGTGTAAAGAATTAGATTTCGCGATAAATAGACTAGTAGACATAGGGGGAATTGAAAAATGTCGGCACTCGAAAAAACAATTCCTCTCGTCATATTTGTTACGAAAAAAATTAGATGGGTCAGATCGTTTTATCCTAAAGTTGAAAAAGTTTAACTTTTTTATTAATAAAGAACACTTAAAAATACAGGACCTTCGGACCGCAATAAACTTTCTTAACCCGGACGATTACATGTGCTGAATAGACCTCAAAGATGCCTACCTAGTAATATATTTTGACGACTTCCTAATATTTGGAAGCACATACGAAACGTGTCTCAAGGACTTAAAACTTACTACTTCTTTCTTATCATATTTGGATTTGCTAATAAACTGGGAAAAAAGTAATTTAATTCCCAAAAAACAATGCAGGTTTTTGGAAATGATAATTGATTAAGAAAATATTACCATCGAACTCCCACTTGAAAAATGCAAAAAAATTAAGGAAATGACAAATGAATTACTGTCAATTAAGGAAGCTAAATTATCAAAACTCGAGGAATTTATAGGTGTTCTTGTAGCGGCATGTCCAGGTATAGCGTATGGATAGTTGTATTACAAAGAAATAGAGAAAATCAAAAGATTCGCAATAAATAATTCACAATACAATTCCAATACCCTTGTAACCTTAACAGTAGACGAAATTCATGCGGAATTCTCTGACGCCTCTAGAACCGGTTGGGGGCATCCTGTAAAAATGAGAAAACAGGGGGTTTTTGGTAAAAAGAAGAAAGCAACAAGCACATAAATTTTCTCGACATAAAAGCAGCTTTTCTTGCCTTGAAATGATTTGCCTCCTCATTCTATGACAAACAAATACTTCTACGCATTGACAATATTACTGGCTTGGTATACCTAAATAAGATGGGGGTACAAAATAAAAAGATCTCAATAACCTTACAAGGGAAATTTGGGAATGGTGGATAAATAAAAAATATGGGTATTTGCAAAATATGTAGCCACGAAAGGAAACCTTGCAGATGAACCATCAAGAATCACAAACCTTGACACGGAATGGGAATTATCAGAATTCGCCTTCCAAAAAATTGTTAATAAATATGGGTCTCCAACGATCGATTTGTTCGCAACCAGAAACAATACGGTTCATCAACTATGTTTTTTAACTTTGTTTCTTAACAAAGACTTCGATTGTTTCGTAAATACGGAATTTTTTGACAGCTATTAACCTGTCAAAATCTAGTATATTTAAATATATGTACTGAGTTTTATAAAAAAACTGAAAATTGTGGAAATGAATGTAAAACTTGTAAACATTCTTATTTTTTACAAAAATTGTATTATGTGTATTTTTGTGGCTCTGAGTAAAATAAAGTGATATATGAAGCAAAATTCCTCAACTGTCCAGGTCAAAAAATAAATCTTCTCTAAACTTTGCTAAAATGTTACTATTATTAGTAGAAGTGTAAATATAAATTTTTTTTGAATTTGATAAAATATTTTTTGAGTTATGGAGTTTCAAAATTTTGATTTTTTTGAAAATATCTTTTTTTTCAATTTAATTCATTGATAAGTAAAATTAATCAAATTTAAAGTATGAATAGTGATTTTTAAAGAGGTTTGAACGGACTATAAGCTGGTAATGAAAAAAAAGTTGTTTTCTTTCAATTTGACCTTGAAATTCAAGGTCAAATTCTTAATTTCAATATATCTCAAAATCGATGTTTTTTTCTAAATTTCCATGGTCCTACTCTGATTTTTACATGGCTCATAGGAAAAAAGGTAAGCTTTCGATTGGGATAGGTTAGAGAAAAATAAAAAACATCGATTTTGAGATATATTGAAATTAAGAATTTGACCTTGAATTTCAAAATCAAATTGAAAGAAAACAACTTTTTTTTCATTACCAGCTTATAGCCCGCGAAAACCTCTTTAAAAAGCACTATTCATACTTTAAATTTGATTAATTTTACTTATCATTATATTAAATTGAAAAAAAAATATTTAAAAAAATCAAAATTTTGAAACTCCATAACTCAAAAAATGTTTTATCAATTAAAAAAAATTTATATTTACACTTCTACTAATAATAGTAACATTTTAGCAAAGTTTAGAGAAAATTCATTTTTTGACCTGGACAGTTAAGGAATTTTGCCACATATATAAATTTGTTTGTGTTATATTTTTTATATGTTAAATAATAATAATAATTATAATACTAATAAAACATAATCTTCTACTAAATGTTAAATAATATTATCCTCATTCCTAACATATCCTTAAATTGTTTTTTTGCATTTCTTTTATTTGAACGCTTAAAAATTTCAAATCATTTAAGAATAAATTATATTTTAATACTTATCTGATAAAAAATATTATTTTAGTGCAATATTATATTTAATATATAAATAAAAAAAGGATTCATATATGTACCACCGCAAATACGGGCATAAATTCGGCTGTATTTACTGCTTTAATCACACCACCCTACTGTGGCTCATATTTATGCCCGTATTGGTAATGTCAAGTTATCTTAGTTATCTACCATTTTTTATGTGTCAAGTTTTAGAGGAAATGGCATTTATTTATCCTTCAGCAAAAATTATAGTTTTGGGTAATTTCAATATTATGTGATATGGAATCAGTCACTTCCCAGTGTGCACGTTCTGGAACTGTTCTGTAACAGTTAATGGAAATAAAGAACAGTTACAGAACGGTTCCAGAACGTGCACACTGGGTTGATGATAACCTATGTTGTTCACCCAAACCTGGTTCTCTTAAATTATATTGTCAGATTATTAACGCAGTAAGTGATACGTTGGACTTTCTTAATCTTGTGCAGATTTAATAATAAAACTAATACTCACGGATCTCTATTGGATCTTATTTTTATAAATTTTTCTGATTCCAATAATTTTAGAGTAAACTTGACTAGTGATAGTCTACTTCCAGTTCACATCTTTCACCCCCCCTTAATTATTTTATTATAACCCTTATCTTACAGATGTTCCCGAATTTCGTGAAAGAATTCTGAAATATGACTTTTTAAATGCTAATGTTTTTGCTATTAATGAATATCTAAACAGTATTGATTGGTCTAATTGCTTATTAAGTTGTGATATTGAGAGTGCAGTTGACATTTTTTATAATTATATTTATTTTGCTGTTAAACTTTTTCTTCCTATTAAAACTATAAATAATTCACATTTTCCACCTTGGTTTAATAGTGAATTAAAAACATTAATACATGATAAAAAAATTGCTCATTTAAATTATAAGAAAAATAATAGCTTCTCAAACTACCAGTTATTTTCTACATTACGAACTCAATGCAAATCTCTTATGATAATATTGTTGTTACTACTCCGTTTAAAGTACACGATTCCGTTAATCTTAATTGTTTTGATATTAATAAAAGTAACATTGCTAAAAAAATATTATCTTGCAATGTGAATGTTGGTGCTGGTCCTGATGGTATCCCTCTTGCTTTGATTGGGTCGTGCTATTCTTCTCTACTCGAACCCTTATATATATAGTTTTTACTAGGTCCGTGCGGGAATGGATTTTCCCAAAACAGTGGAAAATAGGAATAGTTGTTCCTGTATTTAAAGATAAATAAAAAAATGATGTAAAAAATTACAGACCAATTATACAGGTCCACAAAAAATTCGTTAAAAGGTTCCTTCGATCACACCTGGTGTATTATATGTTTTTGGGGTCGCTGAAAATGAATTTGAAGTCCGTTTTAGTCTATCACGTCAGGATTTTTCCTAACCTCAAAATACGTATCAGATTTTACGTGACAAATAAAATTCTATAAATATTGACAGATTTACTTCAATCTCAGTATTAAGGCTTTATTGGGGTTGCTGATTACGAATTTAGAGGCAGATTATCAAAATAAAAAATGGCGGATCAAATAGGGCGGTCGGTTTTTTAAAAAATTAATGAATTTTAATAATACTTGGTATCAAGGGGTTTTCGGGGCCGCTAATTATACGAATTTAAATTCAGATTCTCGAAATAAAAATTAAGGATTAAATATAACAATCAGATTTATAATAATTTCTTGAATTTTAAAGAACTTAACGGAATAACTCCGTTACTCGCCGTTACAACGTGGAGTTGTCCTGGATACAGGCCCACAGAAGAATTCCTGGTCAGTGACCTTAAAAACATCTAGATACCAAGTTCTGTAAAGATTCAAGAAATTTTTATAAATCCGACCGCCATATTAGATTCTTCATTTATATTTCAAAAATCTGACTTTAAATTCGTAATCAGTGACCCCAAAAACCCCTCGATATCAAGTCTCGTAAAAATTTAAGAATTTTTTTAAAATCCGACCGACATATTTGATCCGCTATTTTGTATTTTGATAATCTGCCTCTAAGTTCGTAATCAGCAACCACAATAAAGCCTGTATACCAAGATTGAGGTAAATCGGACAATATTTATAGAATGTTATCTGTCACGTAAAATCTGATATGTATTTTGAGGTTAGGAAAAATCCTGACGTTATGGAGCAAAACGAACTTCAGAATCATTTTCAGCGACCCCAAAAACATATAATACACCAGGTTTGGTCGAAGGAACCTTTCAACAAATTTTTTTTGTGGTCCTGTGTTACCTTTCTCAGCACAATTCCGAATATTTTTGAGAGCATTATTTATGATGAACTTTATCGATCTGTATCTTTTATGAGAATTTGGTATCTGAGGTCGAGCGAGGCCATCAGGTTGACGCCGTTTACGCGGACTTTTCTAAGGCTTTCGATAAAATTAATCACGAAATTCTTCTTAAAAAGTTAAAATTACTAGGCATAGGCCCTAAAATTATTTCTTGGTTTCGTAGTTACTTAATTGACAATTGCCTATGTGTCCGAGTGGATGGTGTTTACTCTAAGATGTTTACGGCAACTTCTGATGTCCCCCAGGGATCTCTCATGGGTCCCTTATTATTTCTTTTATTCATTAATGACATAAATTCCGCATTTAAATTCTGTTCTTTTTTACTTTTTGCTGATGATCTGAAATTATATATGACTATTATTGATTTTCATGTTGATTTTATAAATTTTCAGTCTGACTTAGATCGTTACTTATAATCATGATTATAAGCTCGATAATTTCTCTGACTACTAGCTCAAACTGCAACGACCATTTCTCGAAAACAACGAAACAAAATAATTTTTCTATTTGGGAAATTTAATTTTGTAGGAAAATACAGAGGATGACACTCATTTGCCATTCATAAATAAATAAAAATTTTATTTTTCGTAAAGTGTATGACAGCTGTTCGGTGGCACTTGATATTTAATTTACTAGCATTAACTTTTCTTTAACAATTTGAACAAAATAAATGTCTCACATTGTGTATCTTTTATCACTAATAAATTTCTACTTGAAAAGAAGACATTATATTTTATTGTTGTTAATTTAAAGCTAAAAATAATCAAAATTTGTCAGTTTTGGAACCTTTGGCGCCATCTCTTGGTTCTATGAACTACGAAAAGCTGTCACATGTGTTCTTCTTGTTGTAAATTGCTATACAAAACAGTTTACATAAATTAAAGTTTTTTATTGTTGTTTTCATATGCAATGAATCTTATTATGTGTATTTTTTATTAAAATTAAGTTAGCCAAAGGTTCCAAAACTGGCCAAATTTTGATTATTTTTAGCTTTAAATTAACAACAATAAAATATAACGTCTTCTTTTCTAGTAGAAATTCATTAGTGATAAAAGATACACAATGTGAGACATTTATTTTGTTCAAATTGTTAAAGAAAAGTTAATGCTAGTAAATTAAATATCAAGTGCCAACGAACAGCTGTCATATATACACTTTACGAAAAATAAAATTTTTATTTATTTATGAATGGCAAATGAGTCTCATCCTCTGTATTTTCCTACAAAATTAAATTTCCCAAAGGGAAAAATTATTTTGTTTCGTTGTTTTCGAGAAATGGTCATTGCAGTTTGAGCTAGTAGTCAAAGATTTGTTTCAGGGAAAACTGGCCATATTTAACTTTCTAACAATAATTATTTTCAAATAATTACAACAAAAAATATAATACTCATCCTGTGTATTTATGATAAAAAATAAGTTTTCAAAATTTATAGGTAATAATATCTTATATTTTCTAAGAAACGGTCGTTGCAGATTTTTAATCATTTTAGATCTGCAATGTCGATAAGTGGGATCCACTTAAGTGATGCTTTGACCTTCTCTAACCATATAACTGTTGTTGTAAACAAGGCTGTTCGATCACTGGGTTTTATTATACGAAATGCATCAAATTTTAAAAGTTTAATTTCCCTTAACTATGATGATTTACGTTCACAACTAAAAATTCCTAAGATACACACTACGTTTCGATATAATGACTTGCTTTTTTGTTTAAAATTATAAACGGCATTGTGTACTGTCCTAGGATTCTCTCTTAAGTTAATTTTTATACCCCAGTTAGGGTCAGAGGTTATCATTTGTTTTATATTAAGGTACTACTAAGGGAAGTGTTCCGGTTGTGGGCACCCTTTTGTTTTTGCCTCATAACATTTGTCCATGTGCATATTATTCAAATATATGTGTACGAATTTAAAGCTAGAGGTCTAAGGTGACACGTTTTCACACTATGCTCATCGCTAACAAAAGCATAATGCTTGCATGTGAAGTAGCTAGTACGCATACCATAACGCACTTCTAATGCACTGAACGACTATATTCATCGCATTTAATGGAGTTTGCGGCTGTCACTTTCCTTGGCAGAAAGTTTAGATAGATGAGACAGTAGTCCTCATCATTGTCAGATGGTAGAGCCTCCTTAACATAAAGGTGCCCACAACCGGGAATGACAGTCATTTTTTAAAAAGACCAACACATTTTGTGATGCAGGATTTTGGTTAAACACGAAGGTAAATCACAAAATATAATGACAAAACTGCAAAAAAAAAATTAAACCCTTTTTTTCTGAACGAATCTACATCCATATGTTGCTCTTCGAAAACAATACAAAATTACTTTTTTATTTATTTAATGCAAATTTTCTTTATTATGCTCACAGCTATTACACAAATGCATAATATATTTGTTTCGTTATCAATACGAAAAGTCCGTATTGTCAACGAACACGACTTGCAATACTTAGTTCAGTAAAGTCTGCTTGCCGTCGAAGTTTACGTAGGGGTGCCCACAACCGGCGCACTTCCCCTACACTTTAGAATTTAAAATTTTTTTACTTTTTTTATTGTATTTTTTAACTCCTTAAGACTTCAGAAAACACCTCCTAAAGTATTTATAACCAATTGTAAAAAATAAAAGTAAATTTTTTAAAAAGTATTCAATTAATGTAAAAAGTCATTGACAAATTAAGTAAGTCTTTAAGGGGATGGTGGGGTTCAGCTTTTTGTTACGACCAGTAAAAACATTGGTGCTAATGTATGTAACAGTGTCTGACATAAAAAAATGGTGGGGTTTTAATTTGCAAAAGAATTTTAGGTAATTTATGGATGGCCTCTAACGATACATATAAGTTTTAACGGTGTTCGACGGTCTCTGAAATTTCTAGATTACATTTGACAAACCGCTATCACCCAACAAATACGGCACTGCCTGGTTGAAATGACGTGAAATTGGTAAACAATCATTTTCGAACGAGTTTTTCTCTGCACACAAGCACTTTTTGCAAAATCTGAATCCGAACCATTGACACAAATCTTCTTAATTACCTAAATCCAAAATATTTTTTTAATCTTTGAAGAAACGCGGTTGCAAAATGGGAAAGGCCAGAGTAATGTAATGCGAATCATTTTGACAGCTGAGCCTTTACGCTCCCTGCATGCTTCTGCCCTCTAATGGCAAATGGTTGGAACAAACGTCTTGCCGCCTGTCATTACATTACTTTTGTTGCTTTTGCATTTACCATTTTGCAACCGCGTTTCTGCATGGATTAAAAAAATATTTTGGATTTAGGTAATTAAGAAGATTTGTGTCATTGGTTCGGATTTAGATTTTGCAAAAAGTGCTTGTGTGCAGAGAAAAACTCGTTCGAAAATAATTGTTTACCAATTTCACGTCATTTAAACCAGACAGTACCGTTTTTGTAGGGCGAAAAGTGTAGGTCGCTCCTCATAATCTACAAATTTTAGAGACCATCGAACGCTCTTAACGCCTTTTTCTCAAAATAACGTTTTCTCAAATTGCGGACAGTTTATCTCTGAATCTACTAAACCGATTTTAATAAATAATAACTCGTTTTGTTTGTTAGCATGTCCTGTGTGAGAATTTACCAGAAAATGGTCAAAAAATTAAAAAAAAAATTTTTGCAGACTAGAAAAATACTGAAAAACATAGTGTATTTTGACAAAAATTATTGAAACATCTGCTATTTTTTTATATTAATCCCTTTTTCATTAATGGTGGTAGATTTCTATGCAAGACACCTTCCTTTTTAAAAAGCAATTTGGATTTTTTGTTTCCGATTTGTCAATCTTGAGATAAACTGTCCGCAATTGGACAACTAACTTTTTGGAGTTTCGATCTAAATGCTGTCTGCAGATTATGATATTAAATAAAAATTAAAAACAAACCATTATTTTTATTCTCCAAATATGTACTAATATAGGCAAAAAAGTTTTTTAAATATTTATAATAAAAGACCTAAGAAATTTTTTTTTTAAATTTGGTCTTTTAAGAGCCTTCTAATTATGGAAAGAATTCTATTATTACCAGACTCAGCAGGGAAGCGAATCTTTGTCCTAGTAACCTTGATTATTTTTTATGTAAAAATAGAGAGATTTGTCGCCGCATTATGAGCAATTGTCTTAAATGAAAATTGATAATTATAATTTTCTTTACTGGCCTATTTTTAATTTATAGAATTTAAATAAAAGTTTATAATTGCAATTTTCTTTACTAGCCTATCTTTAATTTGTAGAATCTAAATATTACTCATATGTATTATATTATGTAAAGGGTACTTTTCACCCGTTTATTTTACCAAATAAATAAATAAACAAATAAAGAATATCAAGAGTCAGATTTTGGTATATTGAATTATCGTTCTTAGACTTAAAAAAATTGCTTACTTTAGAGTCCACTGTAAATTTAATAACCTTGTTTCTTTGTTGCAGATAAATTAAAAGAATTCATTCCTGGTATGTTAATTATTTCAATACAACTAGAGTAGTGGCACCATTGGAGTCCGTTAGTAAACTGAAATGTACAGTACCGTCCGAAATTGTCAGTCCACCCATTTTCAAAGGAATGACAAAAATTTTTTAACATCAAATTCATGAAAAGTAAAATTTTTTTTGGTTTATATTTTGAAAGACGATAAAATTTTGAAAAGAATAAGACCTTACAGAAGTCATTTGGCCAAAATTTGTAGAAGATATTCTTAAAAATCGTCATTTTCAATGTTTTACAAAAATTTGAATAACTTCTAAAATAATGAACGCTTTTTAATAATCTTAGGCTTATTTTAAAGACCATTTTCTACAGAATAAGAATTACTTATAGGCATTAACCTGTAATTTTTTTCTTGGAATAAGCATGACGTCAAAGTTGGACAAAAAAATTCAAAAAATTTGAAATAATATTATTAAAAGAAAAATAATTTTTGAAATTCAAACATATATTTTTATTAAATTTTCTTGAAAAATCTACACCATATCATGTTTTATATATGTTCTAGAATAGTTTTTAGTACAAAAAATTGATTTCAAATTTTTCCAATTTTTTTGTCTAATTTTGACGTCATGCTTATTCCAAGTTAAAAATGACAGGTTAATGCCTATAAGTAATTATTATTCCGTAGAAAAAGACCTTTAAAATAAGTCTAAGATTATTAAAAAGCGTTCATTATTTTAGAAGTTATTTAAATTTTTGTAAAACATTGAAAATGACGATTTTTAGGAATATCTTCTACAAATTTTGGCCAAATGACTTCTGTAAGGTCTTATTCTTTTCAAAATTTTATCGTCTTTCAAAATATAAACCAAAAAAAATTTTAGTTTACATGAATTTTATGTTAAAAAATTTTTGTCATTCCTTTAAAAATGGGTGGACTGACAATTGCGGACGGTACTGTATCGTTGTATGTCCCCATCATAGTAAGCTTACCTTGCAGAATTGATGAAAGCTGATACCCACAGGTTAACGTAATAATTACTGTAAGCTGCCATCGGACTTCGGAGGCTAATTGGAAGCTCACACTACTATAACCTAACAGATCTTACAATAGAAGCTCACAGTAATCTTACAGTGTAAGCTTCATGTTTTACTTAATATGAAATATTAATTTTTTAACAAAAATATGTGCATTAAGATAGTTGTGATTGGTTGTACTATAGATCATGAATTTCATTGAGAGAAAGAATGTGGCTAATGGGCAGTGGATAAACGTACCTACTTGTAGGAATAGTGCAGAACTATGATTGGTTAGATTATGTTTCCTGAACGTAATTGGTTAAGTTGGGTTGCAATAAAATGTTCCTGAAAGGCTGAAGCAAATTGAACAATATTTATACGTGACTCTAGTCGACTGAAATTTTATATGGAAAATACGTTCAATTTTTCCTTAAAATCACTCAAAACTTTCTCAAGCTTATACAAATTCATTTAAAATCCTCAAACTTTGGGTTCTTTTAGTACAGGATAAGAGGTTTAAATTCCAATTTTTAAATGTTTTTTACTACTTTTAAGTTCCTTACTTTAGCGAAACTAAGTCGATAATTAATATTAGATGGGCACTCAGAAATATTAAGATAAAAAAGGAGCAATTAATCTGGAATCGATCAAAAAAATTCATCGTTTGGTAACGCACGAAAGAATCAATATCTTTATTAATTAAATCGGCGATATCCATTTGATCAAATATACCGTTTTGGTAGTTTATCATCCATATCTTCACATTGTTTTTCACGAATTTTATTTACCATTTTTCTTTTTATATCAGCAGGAACAGCTTTATCGAAAAATACCAGCACAGTGGTTTCAAGAGGTAAGTACCAAAGATGGTTTAAAAAATTTTTTATATCAATTTTGCTAACTTTCAATTTTATTTTACTGAACTGAACTAAACTCCTCATGAAACAAAAACATTTTGAAACAATAAATCGCTTTTGCCATCCAGCAAGCATGGGAAAAAGAATCTGACTTATAAAATTAAATATCATCACGAGGAATTTTTTCCAAAAAAATCAGAAAGAAAAGTAGCAATTGGCGGTAATCATAACACAGCCACTCTCTAAATTTGAATCAGCGAAAAGTGGCTGATTATGCAGCTGATTCAATCAGCGTATATACACAAATAAAACAGCGAATAGTCACTAATATTTCAGCCTATATACGCTGATTGAATCAGCTGCATACTTATTGCTGCATAATCAGCAATTTTTCGCTGATTCAAATTTAGAGAGCACACAAAAAAATAAAAAGTTCTGATCTGGGGGTTTCACTATGTAGTCTTTATGTTTTTTGGGTCGCTGAATCAGAATCCGAGGTCCATTTAACTCCAATCAGATCAGGATTTTGACATAACCTCAAAAAACCAATATGGCGGACATGTTTTTGAAAAGTTCATCGGATTCCCTTGAAATTCGTTACCCGGGGGTTTTTGGGGTCGCTGATTACGAATTTAAAGTCTGATTTCAAAAATTCAAAATGGCGGATCTAATATGGCGGACACGTTTTTGAAAAATTCATCGGATTAGCTTTAAACTCGTTACTTGGGGGTTTTTGGGGTCGCTGATTACGAATTTGAAGTCAGATTTCAAAAATTCAAAATGGCGGATACGATTTTGAAAAAATTCATCGGATTCGCTTAAAATTCTTTACTCGGGGGTTTTTGGTATCGCTGATTACGAATTTGAAGTCAGATATGGCGGACATGTTTTTGAAAAATTAATTGGATTCACTTGAAACTCGTTACTCGGGGGTTTTTTGGGTCGCTGATTACGAATTTAAAGTCAATTTCAAAAATTCAAAATAGTGCATCTAATAAACCGCCGATACTAGGGTTCCGAGTCCCTGCATCGTAACACGTTTTCTACGTGTGTCTACCATGACGGCATCAAAGCCATTACCCAGGGACTTATCCGGATAGCGGACAAACTCTGTTGCCCACCGTCACCTCGTGGAGGTGCCCTGGATGCAGGCACACGTAAAATATAAAGTAATTACGTGTGAATTGAATCACTCAAGTTCTTAATTCCTTAAAAGAACATATTTATTGGATGCACCTTTGTGAATTTTTAAATTTGACTTTAAATTCGTAATCAGCGACCCAAAAAAACCCCGAGTAACGAGTTTTATGCTAATCTGATGAATTTTTCAAAAACGAGTCCGCCATATTGGATCCGCCATTTTGAATTTTTGAAATCAGACTTCAAATTCGTAATCAGCGACCCTAAAAACCCCCGAGTAACGAATTTCAAGCTAATCTGATAAATTTTTCAAAAACGTGTCCGCCATATTGGATCCGCCATTTTGAATTTTTGAAATCAGACTTCAAATTCGTAATCAGCGACCCCAAAAACCCCCAAATAACAAATTTCAAGCGAATCCGATGAACTTTTCAAAAACATGTCTGCCATATTGGTTTTTGAGGTTATGTCAAAATCCTGATCTGATGGAGTTAAATGAACCTCGGATTCGGATTCAGCGTCCCAAAAAACATAAAGTCTACATAGTGAAACCCCCAGATCAGAACTTTTTTATTTTTTTGTGTGGCTGTGTAATATTTGCACTTGTGATTTTAAAAGTTTCACGATGAAGGAGCTTACCATTCTTTGACCAAAGATTAGCATTTGTTGTATCACAACAAACAGCTTTGATTTCATTGACATGCCCCCAATCAGAAAGAACCTATAAAACAAGCAAACTATTGAATTATTCTAAAACCTGTGCAATTTATAACATTTTTTTGCTGTAAATGTTGCCTGTGTAGAATCAGATCCATCTTTTAACTCTAGTATCTTTAATATTTTTTGTTTTACCTTCAGATACAATTCTGGCCGGACGGTATACATTCTTAGCTTCAAAAACTTTTTTTAGCAATTTTCCATCCCAATAAATCACAGGAGCAATTATCAGTTATATATTCGTCATACTTTGTTTGAACATCGCTAATGAAATCAATTTTCACTGAATATCTTTGTCTCTCCAAAAACGTTAACGTTGCTCCATCAATTTCTTCTAAACATGTTTGAGAAGCAGCAATGTCAAACATCAAATTAATGTCACTTTCGAAAGTCGATTCTTTTACTTCATGTTTCTTTCTTCCAGTATTTTTTTGTATTAATTGACAATCGTAATATAGTTTATAAACTTTTTCAATACATTTAGCACCGTTTATACGGGTATTTTTGCTTTTTCCCAAAACACGAATATTTCTTTTGTCACTAAAGATTTACTTTCTCGTAAATTACACTTTAAATGACGCATATTAAAGAACAGTACCTACTTTCAAAACTTGTTTTTCACTCTGTAGTTTATTTTAACAACTTTCGAAACAATTTGAAAAAATTGGAATTTGTACCTTTTATCCTGTACTAGAAGAACACAAATTTTGAGACTTTTAAATAAATTTGTATAAACTTGAAAATACTTTTAGTGATTTCCAGGAAAAATTACATGTATTGTCGATATAAATTTTCATTTGATTTACAAAATATTTTTTAGATGATAATGTTCGTGTAGCATTTGTTTCTAATCGAATCGTGTCGGTTCTGTCAGTCGAGCGATTTGACCAGATTTAAGTATATTTATGTTAAGAAAATTTATCAGTGTTATTATGTTTCATCGAAATTAAAAATATATTTACGAAAGCAAATATAAATATATTTGAAGAAGCAATTGTACATGCTTTCAAAATCATGTACATATAGGAAATCGTTTCACCTTGATCAAATTTGTTTCCAGGCAAAAGACTAAAATTGTTTTCGAAATAATAAGCAAAATCAAGGCGATAAACATGTTAAAAGAATCAGGAAAGGATTCTATTCTAAAAAAGAAAAGAAAACTGGTCTCTGGGCAAAAAGAATCAACAAATTATTAAATGAAAAGATCAAACAGAAAAAGAAACAGTTACTCACATCAATGAAGATACATAATTTGAAGATTCTTATGTCACAGTGAAAACAATTATTTGCAATACAAAATTGTGTTACATTTTGAGATATGCTGTAAAGGACTTCATCAAAAACTCTAATACCAGCGCAATATGATAGAATGAATAATAATAATAATAATAATGCTTTAGAAATTGTTTTATCTGAAAATCATCTTGCATTTACTACAGACATGTAGACAGAGAATGTTTCATAGAAAATGGGGTTTTTTTACTTTGACTGCAAAAACATTTTAGGAAATCGAGAATTTTTCCAGAATAAAAAACAGGAGATAATATTCACAATTTCCATGAAGAGATTTTACTTGATTTTAAAACTGATGCTAAATAAACTCATAGTGTAATAATAACATGTAACAGGAAATGTCGTAGCTGCTTCTAGAAATTATAAGCGGTTATCTTGTGTTTTTTATAACTCGAATCCAACGACGGGAGATGTGTTATTTTTTATAGTTACTTGGTATACTTCATTAGGGCCCTAATCACTCTTAATTTTCATAATATGAGAAAAATATGAGACCTCATATGTCGTTTTCATATGAAACTCATGGAATAAGATCTATAAAAAAATTGTCAAAATCGGCTAAGAACATTATTAATTTTATAAATAGCTATATAATTTTAAATATAATTTGTATAAACAAATTATACTTTTTATTTATATTTTCAGCATTTATAAAAAGTACGCCATTTTAAAAATCCTTAACTATATGAAAAAATAAAAAAAAAATTTTTAAACTAAAATTTTATTTAAGAAATCAAAATTGTAAGATTTTTTAAAAGAAGAAATAATTTGTACAATTCGTATTTTTTTATCACAATTTTTTTACAGAATTCTTTGTCCTTTAAAAAAAGATAAATGCATTTAAATATGTAATAAAGACGTCATAAATTGTATAAAATAGTAAAAATTAATTGATCCTGAAACATTGCAAGGTTGAATTTTTTTAAATTTTATAAATGTCTACAATACTGAATCACTGTTTGTTTAAAAAAATTGATAAAGCAAAATTCATAATTTTAAAATCGTTAAATAATTTTTAAATGTAAGAGTAAATAAAGTTTTTGTCTATAAAAATAAGTATTTGTAGCTATTAAGTATCTTTATATATATGTAAAGTACAAATATTGATTGCAAGAAGTTATTGAAACTTCACGTTCAGAAGATAAAAATTTATTGTGAAACTTTAGAAATATTAACAATAAATAATGCTATTTTAAAATTAAGTTCAAAATATATTTGAATTCTAAAACTTGACCATAGTACGCTGCTGTTGTTTTCTTTGTTTTGTAATTGTTCAAGCAAGTATTAACAAAATGACGAAAAATCGTTCACTACGAAATTTTTTCGTTATTTCCTATATTTTATCGACATGGTCTAATAGTGTTGTAATCGCTATGGATGAATTGAATAATCTTGGTAAGTTTAAACACAAACTTTTGTATTATCTGCAGATAAAAATATAAATGTTGTTGCTAGGAATACTATTCTCTTAAACTAGTTCTTTCTAGAAAGAGTGCGAAGCGTGCAATTTGCTTGAGTTTTCTCTAATGGGTTCTTTTGTGATTTTACATGGGCCTGATCGACAATCTTTTGCCTGGTGCTTTGGTCGCAAACAATTAGTGCAAAGAGAAAGTTTTCGACTTTCCTTTATTCTTTCTTTTATACAAGATTTTAAAAACTTTTCACATGAAAAAATACGATGCTAACCTGGACAGTAAAAACAAGCTGGTTTACTCGTCTATGGTGCAACATATGCATGTTTTAAGGATTCTTTTTTAGCGCGTTGCTAATATTTCGCGAGTCATTTTTATTACCCGATTTGATAGTTATTTGTACCGATTTTGTGTCTTTAAATTGTGCTCTGCGCTGGAGAAAGGTAACCTTTATTATGTCCTTTATTACCTTTATTATTTACTTACCTTTATTATGTCTGTCATTGTTGAAAGTGCTATATCATTAGTGATATCATTGAATTTTTCGCGCGTGGGAACATTTACTTTATCTTTTATTAACAATAGGAGAATTGTGTCCCATTTGTCGACCGGTTGTCCTAATGCGCGAAGTGCTCTAAAATGTTTTTGTACGTGATCCAATAATGCACGAATAGAAAATTCCTTAGATGTTGCAGGAGCTAGTATAATTGCTCTCGTATGATTTTTAATTATTACTCGTTTATTGTCATAGCGGTCTTTTAATAAATTACATGCGACAGTATAATTTTCGGATGCTGAGAAGAATCTTTTCCGGTACAAGTTCTTCGAGACGTGTTTGAACTTTATCGAATTCAGCCCAATTCTGTATAAATGGATATTGTAATAGGAATTGGTGATACAATTAACGCACTTATTGAAGGATTGATGAGATGAAAGGTTTAAAGTCGTAGAAACTGGAACTCCGTCAACGATGAATCCACAAAGATTAAAGACAAGTACTGGAACACTAGTCTATGGAACACAGCTTCTTTTGACGATTCTCTCAATCGCTTCCTTCGTATTTGATTGAAACGGTTTTGTTGATAATAATTTCAAAATTGAAATTCTTAGTTTGTTTGAAACTGGAACAGAGTATCAAACACGACACTTTTCATAATTGCAATATCTTTAACACAGGAACACTATTAACTGTTTTATAGTTCAAAAGTCTTAAGCATTACTTGCTTACTGCAGTAACTATGCTTACTGACAGTCTATCACATTTAGGAAGTACCTTTTGCTTTAAACCTCAGTCCTTTATTATTTCAAAAAACTGTGTGATTCGACACTTACACTGATTCACGTTGTCGGCCAAATTAACAATCGTTACACATCTTAATTGTAACTATACTTGTTACTTTAGTAAACGTAACAACATTTAAGAAGCAAAAGCAAAATAATTTCCGATTTGGCCTAGAATGCCCCATATAATATTTATTTATAAATATATTATAAAAACCTATAATTGAAAAAATTCAAAAAAAATTTAATATTAACTATAATATTGTAATATTTTTTGACACTCGAAAAAAATTTTTTGAACGATTCAAATTTAACATTAATAAAAAATAGACATTAAAACCTTTGGTTTTGTCTTAATAGTATAAACTAAACAAGTTCATTTTTATTAACTTTGTCCTTCTCAATAAAATCATTAATCTTGGAAATAACTTTATGACATTTTGAAAATTGAAAAAAAAATTTCGAACGATTCAAATTTAACATTAATAAAAATAGACATCTAAAACCTTTGGTTTATTTCCTTAAAATAAACTGAACAAGTCAATTTTTATTAACTTTGACCTTCTCGATAATTAATAAAAATAGACATCTAAAACCTTTGGTTTATTTCTTTAATATAAGCTGAACAAGTCAATTTTTAATAATTTTGTCTAGCTCGAAAAAATCATTAATCTTGGAAATAACTTTACAATAATTTGACACTCGAAAACAATTTTTCGAACGATTCAAATTAAACGTTACTAAAAAAACATCTAAAATCTTTGGTTTATTTCTTAAAAATGAACTGAACAAGTCAATTTTTATTAACTTTGACTTTCTCGATAAAATCATAAATCTTGGAAATAACTTTATCACACTTTGACACTCGAACATTGTCATTTTCGTCTTTACCAAAAAGATTCATAAGACCTGCAAATTTATTTTCTTTAAACACGTTTTTAATCATGTCATATGAAATGTTGGAAGCGACCATTTTTTCTGATACTATACGAAGTACATTGATTCAATCCACTCAATTTTTTCATATCACTAGATAATTTCTCAGCAAAAACGTCTTTTTTTAATCTCATTCCAGTTTAAAGTCGACTCTACAATTTTTTCATTTGAAATCTTTAATTTAACTAACACCTGTTTCAACATTACGACATCCGCAATAGTATTATGTGCTCCTTCAGTATTAATTTGCAGATCATTAGATATAGTTTTTTAATTTAGTCTGACCTTTTTCTTTTCTGTCACTGCATTTTGCAATTATAGGAAGAGTGTCAGAAAATCCCTCAACAACCGATTTAAAATGCTGTCTCATGTTAACAGTTTTAACTGCTTGCATAACCCTTTCGTGCCTCCGGTACATATATGTACCACTTAGAAAATTTTATGTAATTCTTTAAAAAATTAACCAATTAATTTGCACTAAATTGCTTTTTATTCCGAATGGATGTGGCTACAATTAAAAAAATAGTAAATTACAAAAAGTTGTAATATTTATTTTAAACAATAGAATAAACATTGACTGTTTAAAAAAAACAGTGATGTAACAAACTATACATTTCATTAACATTTAGTGAATAATTTTTAACAACACTTTGTTTTTTATGTTTTTGGGGTCGTTGATTATGAATCTTCAGTCAGATTTAAAAATTTCAAAATGGTGGATCTAATATGGCTGACAAATTTTTAAACAAATTTCAAATATTTTTAAATTTTATCAAAATTGCTTCCAAATTGTTACTCGGGGATTTTCGGGGTCACTGATTACGAATCCGATGTCAGTTTTTCAAAATTTAAAATGGCGAATCCAATATGGCGGACAAGATTTTAAAAAATTGCTTGAATTTGGGTCCATATTGTTACTTGGGTGTTTTTCGGGGTCGCTGATTGCAAATCGGAAGTCAGATTTAAAAAATTTTAAAAATTAAAAATGGCGGATCCAATATGGCGGAAAAGATTTTAAAAAATTCCGTAAATTTGCTTCAATATTGTTAATCGGGGGTTTTCGGGGTCGCTGATTACGAATCCGATGTCAGTTTTACAAAATTCAAAATGGCGGATCCAATATGGCGGATGAGATTTTAAAAAATTGCTTGAATTTGCGTCAATATCGTTACTTGGGGGTTTTAAGGGTCGCTGATTACGAATCAGACGTTAGATTTAAAAAAATTTTTAAATTGAAAATGTCGGATCCAATATGACGAACAAGATTCTAAAAATTGCTTCTATTTGCTTCAACTTCTATTTGCTTCAACTCGCGGGTTTTTGGAGTCGCTGATTACGAATCTGATGTCAGTTTAAGTTTTATTGATAAAATAGTAGAAACAAAATAATCCATGCTCAATTTTGTAAAAAATATGTTTTTAAATCCACAAAAAAATGCCAAGTGAAAAGATTAATTTTCATAATTTTTAATAAAACTCTTTATTTGTACCATTGTACACTATTCTGGTGTATCGAAATTCATTTGTATAATTTTGTAACTAATTTCAGATCATATTTGTATTCTAAATTTTTTGTATAATTTATTTTTTATATAAAAATTAGGATCTGAAATATTAATAAAATTTGAACCTAATATTCTCTCCGTACTTAACGACCTCAAAAACTTTTATATTTGATCCGACATTTTGATTTTAAAAAACTGAAATTAGATTCGTAATCAGTGACCCTTAAAACCCCCAAGTACCGGTTTTAAAGCAAATTCAAACAAAGTTTTGAAAATCTCGTCCGCCATATTGGATCCGCCATTTTGGATTTTGAAAAACTGACATCGGATTCGTAATCAGCGACCCCGAAAACCCCCGATTAACAATATTCAAGCAAATTCAGGCAATTTTTTGAAATCTTGTTTGCCATACTGGATCCGCCATTTTGATTTTTGAAAATTTTTTAATTTTGACTTCTGATTCGCAATCAGCGACCCCGAAGACTGCCAAGTAACAACATTGACGCAAATTCAAGTAATTTTTTAAAATCTTGTCCGCCATATTAGATCCGCCATTGTGAATTTTGAAAAACTGACATCGGATTCGTAATCAGCGACCCCAAAAACCCCCGAGTAGCAATATTGTAGCAAATTCAAGCATTTTTTAAAAATCTTGTCCGCCATATTGGATCCGCCATTTTAATTTTTTAAAACTCTCATCGGATTCGTAATCAGCGACCCCGAAAACCCCCGAGTACCAATTTGGAAGCAAATCCAACCGCTGGATTCCCCGGGGGCACGAAAGGGATAAGCTTTGGATAGTCGAACTTGCAAATATATTCCTGTTTCCAAATAAAAAAATACCACAATCGATTTTAAATTTCCATTTATATTTGCCATTGGCAAATTCGTTCAACGTTTGAAGAAGTCCAATGTCTGTCGCGTAAGTTGTTCTTTCAGACAGTTCTTTTCTATTTCTTAGTTCCATTTTTTGTTTTTTTAAAAAAAGGCGACGACTTTTAAATTTTTAAGTCAATTCCGGGAGATAAATTTAATTACATAATTTACCCACGTACTTTTCTTCTTCATTTTTTTATTTACAGCACATGCAACTCGTATGTCGCCCGAAGAAGTCATCCCATACATCCTAGATTTCGGCGCTTTACTAACGATCATTGCATTTAAACTTTCATTAGCATTGCTTGACTCACCTGCTGAAAATCGACTTGCATTTTCTGCTAATTTTGCAAATAACGATTTGAAACCTTCTTTTAAACTTGTAT